ACAACGCCCACACCCTCGTCGTACGCTATGTATGCGGGCGTACCTTGCGTACATAGCGTACATAGGAGGTTATGTCCGTAGAGGAAATTATGCTGAAATTTTATCATCCTCCGATAGATTAGAACTTAGAAGTCCTACTTGTTGAACTTCAAATAGGGAGTCATGCAAATAGTAAGGGTGTTGGGCCATGTTTTTTTGTGTTTGTGTAATCTATTTGAAAGGGAATCTCAACAAGCTCGTTCGAGGCTATGTTGTTTGTTATCTTTTGATAACACCCAAATCTCACTCATCTATGATGCCCACGCTTGATAGTAGATGGTACATGGAATGACTTTTATAGTTTACGGGTCAAGGTCTAAAAGGTCCATGTTTGATTTAAGGGGTGCTTAAACCACCAGTACTTCCTAAAGTCGTGGCCGTTAACAAGCCACGATTTTAGGCAACATACGGGCCACTACAGGAGCGCCCAAATTTATCCGACTAGAAATGTTTCCACTCTGTTTTTTCCGCGGCCGATAGCTGGGCCAAGCACTGGTGGTTTAAACCGCGAGGACACGGTCCCAACCTTGTGGATAAGTTTCTCGTGGATAAGTTTTCCATCAGGGCTCGGGGAAGGGTGCATGTGGAAACACATGCACGGACGAGACAAGAGGCAAAATAGCAAAAGAAGTAAGCAAAAATAAGGCTGGCACTTGCCTTATTTTTGGAGACATGCGGTCTTCAGAACGGAGAGATAGGTGCCTGTTTCAACGGGCATCTCCGTTCTTTCCCTTTTGGAGTGAAACGGTTTCACCCAGTTTACTAGACAGATGCAGCCATCAGGACTCGATCCGTAGACCTACCCCGTAACCTTGTACATTGACCCTGTAGCCCTATGTGAGATTTGAACCCTCGGCCTGTCCCTAAACCCTCTAGGTTAGTCAGCCGTTAGGCCTTGATCCGTAGACCTTCGTGCTAGCAGTTTAGTGTGTTACCGTTAGGTTTAGTTACGGTCCTTCTGGAAGCCTCTACCTGACTCTTCGGTAGTGTAAGGGTCAGTCCGTAGTTAGTCCTAGCGGTTAGTGAAGGGTCAGTCCGTAGTTAGTCCTAGCGGTTAGCGAAGGGTCAGTCTGTAGGTTCTAGAAGGTCGTAGGCCCAGTCTACCGCGTCTGAGTCAGCAAGTAGACCAAGTCCACCTCGTCCAGTCAGCAAGTACCAGGTGGGAGTCCCACGCGGTTTGGGGCTCAAAGGCCCAGGCGGTTTGGGCCTCCCAGGTCCATGCGGTTTGGGCCTTCTAGGCCCACGTGGTTTAGGGCCCAGGACCAGGGGCACAGCAGGCCAGGCGTATCTAAGAAACAGTATAAATAAAGTAACAGCGCCCAGCCATTCATTCATTTGCCTGTGAGCCATGCGGAAGCACTGATGGAGCGACTTTTGCAGTGGTGGTCTGCAGGTGCCCGGAGCTGAAGTGGGCCGAGGAAGACGATGGTGGCCATAGCTAAGGGGAGGAAGACGATGGCGGCCATAGCCGCCAAGCTGCTGACGTCAACAGAGAGTACAGTGTGTGTGTGCGTGTCGCGTGGACACTCAGGGTGGATCTTCACGTGTGTATACATGAGTGAGAGCGAGGCTGATGGTGGAGACAATGTTCGGTTGGGACTTCAAACAGTGTTCGGTGGCCATAGCCGCAAGTTGTAACAGTTGTCTTGAGCTGAGTTTCTGGCCAGAGGCCGTATCTCTGGGTTTCTGTGTGGGCGCATGTCGCCATTGCAAGTTCTTTGCCGGTTCTGAGTTGATGAAGTTGGTTTGCCATCGGTGCATACATGTATGCATGTTGCAAGCGAGATTGAGTCAAGTCTGATTTCAGGAGTTACGTTACGTTTTTTCCTTTGTTTTCTTGCATCTGCGCCAGTTTTTGGGAAAAGGTACGGGTGCAGGTTGAGAAGCAACTGCCCTGCCTTGTTGGCAGGGCTTACAACAACAAGAAAGGAAAAGTGAAAAACCACTTACCTTTCCCGGTGGTGCTGGCAGCAGTGTTGAAAAATTGTCTGCTTCTGGCACTATTCCAGCGGCAGATTCATTTGGTAGAATGCAAGGAATTTCTTTCAGTTGTATTACTTTTCTGTTTTAGCATTTGCTTTTTTCCTTTTCTTTTTGTACCTTCCTTCCGCGATGATGATAGAGCTCGTGTCTGTTGGTACACCTGTGCACTCTTGCCATACAGACTGAAGTTCGACTCCAGATGCAATCAGGGAACTTACAATCAGGGGGCCGTTCGGCAGCTCAATGAGCTCTGAGTTGGCCATCAAGAGGGGTCTATTGAGCTGCTGGATGGCCCCAGGTATGTTCATCGAACTGGACCTGGGGCTGAAAAGTGGGGGTCCCTGTTAACCACTTGTGGACACGAGCACCATCATCGTCACCGAAGCTACAGAAAAAAGAAGCAAAAGCGGGAAAAAAAAAAAAAAAAAAAAAAAAAACTCTTACGAAGGGGGTACTCACATGGGCACTTTCCTAAATGTATCCGACGACAATCATGTCCAACATGAGTAAGAAATGTGCCACTGAGAGTTTTTTTTTTTTTTTCCTTTGTTATTTTTTTTGTCTTTTCCATATCCGGTGAGCAGCAAGGCTAGCACCTATTGAAATCAGCCTGTATCTGGCCCTCAAACTCAGCCAGATACATGGGCGGGCTTTGCTGGAGAGTTTGGCTGGGGTGGGGGGAAAAAACGGCCTCCTGTTTGTTCCATCTGCTGGCAGCGGGTCCACAGCTCAATCGGAGAGAGGCTGATAGCCTGATACCGATACCACCCTCAACTTTTTCCAAGTGATGAGCAGCAAGGCTAGTACCTATTGAAATCAGCCTGCATTTGGCCCTCAAACTCAGGCAGATACATGGACGGGCTTGCTGGATAGTTTGGCTGGGGCGAGGGAAAAAAACGACCTCCTGTTTGTTCCATCTGCTGGCAGCAGCAGGTCCAGAGCTCAGTTGGAGAGAGGCTGGTACCGATACCACCCGCAATTTTCCAAGTGATGAGCAGCAAGGCTAGTACCTATTGAAATCAGCCTGCATTTGGCCCTCAAACTCAGGCAGATACATGGGCGGGCTTGCTGGATAGTTTGGCTGGGGCGAGGGAAAAAAACGGCCTCCTGTTTGTTCCATCTGCTGGCAGCAGCAGGTCCAGAACTCAGTTGGAGAGAGGCTGGTACCGATACCACCCTCAATTTTTTCCAAGTGATGGTATCGGTCGCTTTCAGGCCTCAATTTTTTCCAAGTGATGGTATTGGTCGCTTTCAGGCTCGGAAAAATAGTAGTAGATTTAGGCTCGTACATTTAGCATCGGGTGTACCGGTGGTTTAAAGCACCAGTACATGCCAGCTGTCGGCTGCGGTCCCCTTTCGGAGGCCGCTGGCCGCCGATTCATTTTATCTACGGCGCTCGGCCTCCTAAATTTTCGAAGAGGCTCAAAAACAGGTTCTCCTGTTGCCTGGGGCCATGTACTGGTGGTTTCAGGGATTAAATCGGATAGGGATGATAGGCCCAACGACTATTTGACTCTGAGAGGTTTGGGGGCACGAGGGCCAAAGAGTGAAAATGCAGAAACGGTTGACTTCTTAGTCCGTTTGTGTGATGTGTTTTGACGGTCGTTACAAAGGGGCCAAAGGCGCTCTAACTTGGTTACCAAGAGACCATCATGAGTACTCGTAGGGGGGGAAATACGTGTGTGAATGAGCGAATCTCATCAGGACCCTGACCATGACATGCCAACGAGATGTGACGTCTGTATGCTTGGTGTCAGCGATATTTTGGTTATTGCGATATTGGATAATTATTGAAAACTTATGAAAAGGCCAAACAAAGGCGTACTATTTTTGACGAGTGTTGGAAAGGCAGAACAAAGATCTGTCATTTTGATTAATGTTGAAAGGGTCGAAGGCCCACTAAACTTTGACAAGTGTTAAAAAAAAGACCAAAGATCTGTTCTTTTGATAAATGCTGAAAGGCCAAACAAAGGTCTGTGTATTTTCTTTAGGACTTTAGTTTGTATACACATACATTTCCTTAGACTGAAGAGTTCGACTTTCGTGTCGGTTCATTAACTTCATTATGTGTGTATTTATTTAAATGACACAGGGTTGCATGTCTTGAGAGCTCATATCAAATTGACTAACCCCCTTGAATCTTCAACATGTAAGGTTGACACCCAACGCTTGTTAAGGGGCTCACCTGCCTGTGGAAGTTTGACTCAGGCACATGGGCAAGGTTGTCGATTGTGTTTCCTCCTCTTAATGGGTTGGTGGTTGGACATATTGGTTCACGACCGAAGAGCCAAACCTACGTTTTTGTACAGCCCTCAACGTATGAAGACGCTGAAAACAATATGTTTCTACAAAAAAAGGAGAATGGCAACAAAAACACCATAATTCTGCTGCCATTAACTACGCTTTCGATCCATTTCGAACAACATCACGTGCCCTTCTATTACCCATTCATTTAAAAAAGAAATGTTGGTTCAGTCGCTTTGTTTTGGGATTATAATGGCATCAACCCAATCCCTCATCATTTCTTCATGAACTATCTGCTTATTCAACTCTCCCCCCCCAACCCCCCTCTGTCCCCCTCTCCTTCTCCCTCTCCCTCCCTCCCTCCCTCTCTCTCCCTCTCCTTTCCCTCTCTCGCTCTCTCTCCTCTTTCTGGCACTCTGTCCGTCTGTCCCTCATTCCATCTCTCCCTTTCTCACTTTTTCTTATTTCTACTCTCTCTCTCTCTCTCTCTCTCTCCCTCTCTCTCTCTCTCTCTCTCTCTCTCTCTCTCTCTCTCTCTCTCTCTCTCTCTCTCTCTCTCTCTCTC